TTTGGCAATTGATAGCTGTCCAGGAAGTCATCCATTTCCTTTAAATTTTCGAATTTTGTGGAGTACAGGTTTTCAAAGTATGACCTAATGATTCTCTGGATTTCCTCAGAGTCTGTTGTTATGTCCCCCTTTTCATTTCTAATTTTGTTAATTTGCGTGTTCACTCTCTGCTGTTTGGTAAGTTTGGACAAAGGTTTGTCTATCTTGTTGATTTTCTCAAAGAACCAACTCTTCGTTGCGTTGATTCTTTGTATTGTTTTCCTGGTTTCTACTTTATTGATTTCAGCCCTCAATTTGATTATTTCCTGGCGTCTACTCCTCCTGGGGGAGTGTGCTTCTTTGTGTTCTAGAGCTTTCAGCTGTGATGTTAATTCTCTGGTATAACTGTTCTCCTGTTTCTTCATGTGAGCATTTAGCGCTATGAACTTCCCCCGTAGCACTGCTTTCAAAGTGTCCCATAGGTTTGGGTATGTTGTGTCTTCATTCTCATTGAATTCGAGGAAGTCTTTAATTTCTTTTTTATTTCCTCTTTGACCCAGGGATGGTGCAGTTGAGAATTATTCAATTTCCATGAGTTTGTAGATTTTCTGCAATTTGTGTTGTTGTTGAATTCTAATTTTAAAGCTTGGTGGTCTGATAAGATGCATGGAGTTATTCCAATTTTTTTGTATCTGCTGAGGTTTGATATGTTGCCAAGTATGTGGTCGATTTTTGAGAAGGTTCCATGTGGTGGTGAGAAGAAGGTATATTCTTTTTCATGTGGATGAAATGTTCTATAGATATCTGTTAATCCCAGTTGGGTTATTACTTCTATTAGCCCTTTTGCTTCTTTGTTGAGTTTCTGTTTGGTATTCCTGTCTAGTGGTGAGAGTGGTGTGTTGAAATCTCCCACTATAACTGTGTGGGGCTTTAGATGAGATTTAAGTTCTAATAATGTTTTTTTAACGAATGTGGATGCCTTTGTATTTGGGGCATAGATGTTCAGAATAGACACTTCCTCTTGGTGGGTTTCAGCTGTGATGAGTATGTAATGACCTCCTTCATCTCTTTTGATTGATTTTATTTTAAAGTCTAGTTTGTTAGATATTAGGATTGCTACCCCGGCTTGTTTCTTGGGTCCATTCGATTGAAAAATTTTTCCCCAACCTTTAATTCTCAGGTAATGTCTGTCTTTAAGGGTGAGGTGTGTTTCCTGTATGCAGCAGAAGGATGGGTTCTGTCTTCGAATCCAATCTGCTAGTCTGTGTCTTTTTATGGGTGAGTTAAGGCCATTAATATTGAGGGATATTAATGACCAATGATTGCTCATCCTTCTTCGATTTGCGATGGTTGTTGTTGGTGGAATTATGTGTGGCATTTCACCCCTTTGTTCTTTTGGCTGTTGGTAGAGAGAGATTCTCTAATGCTTATGTTTTTCTGGTTGTAGTTAGCTTCCTTGGGTTGGAGTTTTCCTTCCAAAATTTTCTGTAGGGCTGGGTTAGTGGACACATATTGCTTGAATCTAGTTTTGTCATGGAATATCTTGTTTTCTCCGTCTATAGTGATTGAGAGCTTTGCCGGGTATAGTAGTCTGGGCTGGCATCCGTGGTCTCTTAGTGTAGGTAGAATATCTATCCAGGACCTTCTGGCTTTCAGCGTTTCCATGGAGAAATCAGGTGTAATTCTGATAGGTCTGCCTTTATATGTTACTTGACCTTTTTCCTTAGCTGCTCTTAATATTCTTTCTTTATTCTGTATGTTTGGGGCCTTGATTATTATGTGGCGAGGGGATTTTTTTTGTGGTCCACTCTATTTGGTGTTCTGTAGGCTTCTTGTACCTTCATTGGCATGTCTTTCTTAAGGTTGGGAAAGTTTTCTTCTATGATTTTGTTGAATATGCCTTCTGCCCCTTTGAGCTGGATTTCTTCTCCTTCTTCTATACCTATTATTCTTAGGTTTGGTCTTTTCATGGTGTCCCATATTTCCTGGATGTTTTGTGTTAAGGATTTGTTGGATTTAAGGTTTTCTTTGGTTGATAAATCCATTTCTCCTAGCGTATCTTCAACACTTGAGATTCTCTCTTCCATCTCTTCTATTCTGTTGGTAATGCTTGTATTGGTAGTGCCTGTCTGTTTGTCCAGCTTTTCTATTTTCTGCCTTTCTTCAGATTGTGTTTTTTTTAATGACTCTATTTCAGTTTTCAACCCTTGCAGTGTTTGCATTGCTTCTTGCAATTTTCTGTTTATCTGTTCGTCCGTTTGTTGCCTTTTATGAATTTTTTGGTTTGTTCTTTCTTCCATTTCTTGCATTTTTTGGTTTGTTTTTTGTTCCATTTCTCGCATTTTGTGCTTTGTTTCTTCTTCCATTTCCTGCCTTTTTTGGTTTGTTTCTTCTTCCATTTTTTTCATTTTTTGCTTTGTTTTTTCTACCATTTCTTGCATTTTTTGCTTTGTTTCTTCTTCCATTTCCTGCCTTTTTTGGTATGATTCTTCTTCCAATTCTTGCATTTTTTGCTTTGTTTTTTCTTCCATTTCTTGCATTTTTTGCTTCATTTCTTCTTCCATTTTCTGCCTTTTTTTGGTTTGTTTTTTCTTCCAATTCTTGCATTTTTTGGTTTGTTTTTTCTTCCATTTCCTTGAGGGATTTTCCAATATCCTCTTTTAGGGCCTCTATCATTTTCATGAAAGTGCTTTTAAGGTCGTTCTCTTCTGCTTCATCCGCATTGGAATGTTGGGGTCTTGCTGGTGTGGAGTCTCTAGAATCTGGCGGTGTCATATTTGTTTTTCTGTTGCTGACTGTGTTTTTGTATTGTCTCTTTCCCATCTCTTCTTCTAGTGGGTACAGAAAGAGCCCCTTACTGGTCTGGGGACGAGCGTTCCCTTTTGGTGGGTGCTAGCAAGTCCAATAATCTGGTGGTTCTTCTATTCCTTGTCCGAATGCTGGTCCCGTGGGTGGAGAAGAAGAACAGGAATCTGGGGCGCTTATCCTCTTACCTGGTCCCCTGGACCCTATGCTGTGTCCTGTTGTACTTGATCCAGAACAGCTACTCCCCTGGTCTCCCTGGGTCCTCTGGTTTCCTGGTCTCGTTGGTGAGAGAGAAGACCTGGGGTCTGGGTGCTTGGCTCCCGCCGGGATTGGGAGCTCTGTGCAGTTCCCAGGGGATCTGCAGGCACTGGAGCACAGGCTGGGAAGCCGGCCTGTTTACCTGATGCTGCTGGAAGAACCGCCGCTTCGCTGGTCTCCCAGCCTCCTCTCCTTTCCTGGTCTCGTTGGTGTGAGCGAAGATCCAGAGTCTGGGGTGCTTGGCTCCCGCCGGGATTGGGAGCTCTGTGCAGGTCCCAGGGGATCTGCCGGCACTGGAGCACAGGCCGGGAAGCCGGCCTGTTTACCTGATGCTGCTGGAAGAACCGCCACTTCCCTGGACTCCCAGCCTCCTCTCCTTTCCTGGTCTCGTTGGTGTGAGCGAAGATCCGGAGTCTGGGGTGCTTGGCTCCCGCCGGGATTGGGAGCTGTGTGCAGGTCCCAGGGGATCTGCAGGCACTGGAGCACAGGCCGGGAAGCCGGCCTGTTTACCTGATGCTGCTGGAAGAACCGCTGCTTCGCTGGACTCCCAGCCTCCTCCGCAATGGGTATATTTGACTCACACATCCGCATCACTGTTCATCTTAACAGGAATTGAGGACAGGAACTCAAGCAGTGCCCCAGCCTCAATGTCTACATTAAAGGTGTGTATCATTCAGCCTCCTCCAACAAGACCACCCTTCCTCCAACAAAGCTGCATCTCCTACTCCTAGTAGTGCCACTCCCTATGAGTTTATGAAGGCCAAACACATTCAAACTGCCACAAAAACCCAGCTCAGAATTAGTCATAGGTCTTCACATCATGTTTCTGTGACAGCACTGCAAATAAGACCCACAGAAACATGAAAGGAAGGAAAGAGATTAATATATTAAATCAGATAAATTAAATTCAGGGGAAGTGTATAAGCTAAGTGTTAACATTTAAATAGAAAGGAAAAATAAACGCATTCCTAGTTGTGTGGATTAGGAACTCTTGTCAGCTAAGTGATGCTCACTGAGTGTCAACAGCTACATTGCCCTCATGTCTCAGAGTTGTGGCCTCATACCCATTTTATTACTATCGCCACACTGGGTCATGGCTGGGTCTGTTGCCCATATTCTGTGTGAGGATGACATAATAATGAATCAAGGCCATTTCTGTTCATGGGTCACTGACCCTGCCTAATTTCCTTGTTTTATCTAACTGGGACCTGCATAGTGCTCTAACCATGGAATCTTACCGAATCTCTGCTCTGAGTCCAGGGCTCCACAATCTCAAGGGTTCTTTGTGTTTTTCAGGATCTGATCCTCATCCCCATACAGCATCATCCACTCTGTGTGATCCTCTATGTGCTGTTCAAGTCAGAGTACATCCTTCATGAACTACATGTATAATCGGCTGTGGAGATTGCTGTGTAGTTCAAATTCTTAACACACAAAAACAATGACCTGTGTTTAGTTCTCTGTAACTATAAAAGAGATAGGTGTGGTAGAGAAGCAGTAAGCCGACTTCTGAGATGTAAGTCGTTATGATCAGTGGCACTCACAGGGCAACCAAGGTAGGTAGTTGGTGAGATCCAGGCCCAGTATTGAAACTTATCTCAAAAAGCATTGTGCAGGTTGATAGAGTACATCACTTCATACCAACGTGTACACAAACACACAGATATACACAGAAAGACACACACACGTTATTTCTCTGCTGTGTTACAGTCTAAAGGTCTGTGAATCAAGAAGAGGACCTTGGGGAGTCTAGTGTTAGTCTTAGGACTATATGGGCCAAGGGTGTAATTAAAACCTTATTTGCTGAAGGAAAAGGCAATGTGTGAAGATAGATATATAGATGATAGATAGATAGATAAATAGATAGATAGATAGATAGATAGATAGATAGATAGAATCCATGAGTTTGCTATGGAGAAACAGCCCAGACCCTGAGGAGTCCAGTCCTTTATTCCATTCTAAATAGCCTCTTCTGTGAGCCAGAGCTCTGTGTGCTCCCAGCGCCCCCTGCTGGTCCTGAATTTCCTACAGGGAGGTTTGTGTCTGAGCTCACAATAGCATTCACTCACTGTGTCTCTGGTACAGTAATATGTGGGTGTGTCCTCAGATTTGAGATTGTTAATTTGCAGGTACAGAGTATTCTTGGCATTGTCTCTGGAGATGGTGAATTGGCCCTTCACGGCGTCGCCATATTCTATGTAACTACTGCTACCACTAATGTATGCGACCCACTCCAGCCCCTTCCCTGGAGCCTGGCGGACCCAATTCATTTCATAGTTACTGAAGGTGAATCCAGAGGCCAAACAGGAGAGTTTCAGGGACTTTCCAGACTCCACTAATCCTCCACCAGATTCAACCAGCTGTGCCTCACAATGGACACCTGCAAACACAAAGAATTCTGATCCGAAAACTGTCACAGCATGTTTCTTTTTCATGTCCACACACAAACACGCATCTCATCTATATTAATTACCTTTTAAAATAACAACAAGAAAAAGCCAAATAAGCCCCAAGTCCATCGTTTTTGGTCTCTCCTCTATACTGATCACACAGTGTGAGGAGCTGGGAATCCAGACCTGGGCTACTATGCCTGAACTTCAGGGTCAGGGGAGGGCTGGTTTTCATGGGCTCACAGAAGCCTCATTTGCATGTCTTCCTGCTATAACAAGCTCTGATTTTGGGCAGTGCTCAGAGAACGTATATGCCACAAAGACAGTAATATCAGGTACTCAAATTTATACAATGTGGCAGCTCTATATGCACCATTTTCTTGTGAGCGATTCACCATATTTCACTTGGTTCTCTCTATGACTGTGAACAGAACTTGCTGTGTGTGTATACTGACATGTCTCCTCAGTATAAATGTGTAATGCAATGGGTCCACACACAGTTTTGTTTCTACACAATAGCTATATCTGTGGTGGACCTAGTTCCTCCATGATGAGTTTCGTAAACAGAGTCAGACTTGCTTACAGTGCTTGCCACAATTGCACCTGTGCAATGAGAACATAGATTGCAAAAATTCTTTCTCCATGATGAGAACAGAAGTGGTAGCAATTCCTTCTCAGAGATGAAAACAATGGTTGTTGTAACTCCTTCTCTGCAATGAAAACAGGGGCTGTCACAGTTCCTTCTCTGTTAAGAGAACACATGAGTGTCTCCTGAATTTTCTCATTACTGACAGTATTGTGCTAAAGCATTTGGATGTTGTAAGTGTGAGATCCTTGTCACTGTCTGCTTACAGCTCAGTGTTTTCTGTGCAGTCAAATTCCTATTTACAGCAAACTCACATTTATGCTTCCTTACTTTCTCCATTGGATTCCTTAAAATTCCTTCCACTGTCCTCTTCATCTTTTTACCAGGCAAATATAACTGTCTTTATGTTCTTTTAGATTATTTTCATTTCACCGAATTAATACATTTGGCATATCCAAGGATTTTCATGAATTTTTAGGATGATTAGAACTTTATATCACATTATTAAATGAAGTAGAGAGGAGCAACACCTTAAACAGGAGTGGAAACATATACAATATATAAAAAAGCCTTAATTTGAATCAATTTACAAAAATTCACAGTAATGCAAAATATTTGAGAATAGTAGCTGTTTTTTAGTTCAAAAGTGGACTCAATAGTCCACCCTTTAATCCAGTCATTTCTATAATGTATCCCCTATTTTCTCTTCAGAATGAGATCTCTGGATCCACTCTCCTTTGGCCAGCTTTTTTCCAGACCATGACCAATAAGAACATGTAACCAACCCTACTGAAAGAAGACAAACCTCCATAATGCTATGAATGACCAAAAAACCACACACCCCACCTCTTTGGAATGTGGGTGTTGTGTTTGATAGAAGACTTCCTGTTGTCTATGTGTGCAGGCATCCCTATAGGACACTGAGAAAACTGGGATAATGGTCAAGTAGTGTGAGAGCTAACTGCATTATTTTTGTTTAGTTTCATGTGAAGGGACAGTGTAGAGAGCTCATCTAAATTTTGACTGTAGAGTCTGTGAAAATGGACATTGTCAGATAGCAATTCTGAAGTTGCTCTGGATGCAGAATTTAGAGGAAACTTTAACAGGGTCACTCTGAGAAGCTGGGTGATCTGGGATCTTTGTCTTCATTGGTATCTGGATCTTTTTTTCTGAAAACACACAAACTTTTAAAGGAAACGTATATGTGTATATCTATCTATATACATATATATATATACATATATATACATATATATATGGTTTGACATAAGTATGGAATGTATAATGTGTACAAATGAGCTAAAGATGATTTTTTGTTCTGATTTTGAGCAGGTAAAAGACATATTTTAGCTATATAAGTCTGTTTGTACTGTATAACCAAACCTTTACCCATACCATATGAAAGGATGACATGCAATAATAAGTTATGAGGACTGTGAAGCCAACAAAATTTATAATGTCTCATCCAGACTCATAAAGTTGTTCCCAGGTAGAGCCATGAGCATATATGTCACCTGTCTTGTAGATTTAATTTTTATTTTATTCCTTTTTGTAGCCAATATTTTTCATGAGGGCACCCCCAATCAAATCTGATCTTCATTAAATTTTTAGAAACACATAACTTTTGTTTCCAGTGGAAACAAAGGCACAACCTCTCTTTTAATGCAATATATTTTCTGACTTTCAATTTGAAGTTAAGACATTTAAAAATATGTAGGCAGTCTCACTTTATCAATTTCCATAATCTAATATCTTTTAGCAGCTATTGATTTTTTGCACTAGCATCAAAAAATTCAAAGTGAACAAAGCACCATAAATGATCTGGATACCCTGTGTATTTCCCAGCATTATTTGCCTTATTCTTTTAATATTACTTTATTCTTTCTTTAAAGAAACTTGCTTATAATTTGTAAAATATCTATTTTTCTATGACAGTATACATGCACATATACTGAATCTGCTTAAAGATTTTCTTGTCACAGCTAAAGATTTTCTTGTCCCAGCTGTTTACTAGTGCCTACAGCCTTCTCTGACCTTGTGAGCCAAGTCTTAAAACTTCTGTGCAGTTGTGCACATGGCACTGGCTGTCTCAAGCCCCCAGGCAGCTACATGGAATGCATCTCTCACCATGGTCAGCTCAAAAGGCTGTGGGGCTAGCGAGCTGTGTCTGGCTCCATGTTGGCATGTTTGAAAAGTATTTCAACTTTCTCAGTTCCCATGTGGGAACATATGCAACCACATTGGATTCCATAAGTAAACAAACTTGTTTTGAGTTGCTAGTTCACAAATAATGACATGGAATCTCATTATTAATTATGAAATCTTGGCCTTTAGATTAGGTTTGTTTTCAATTGACTCTTTTTATTTGTTTTAAGAGACCTGGTTTCTCTGTATTGTTTTGGAGGCTGTCGGTCCAGCCTGGCCTCCAACTCACAGAGATCTGCCTGCCTCTGCCTCCCAAGTGCTGGCATTAAAGGCGTGCACCACCACCGCCTGGCTCAATTGACCCTTATATCTTAAATTAACCCAGAGTGTAGACAGAATCTGGCTGTAACAATAAACTGCACACTTATTGAGGGTAACTGTTTATTGTAGAAATTACTTACAAGAGAAAACAGGCAAACCAGATGAGTCATGTAGCTTTCGCCATGGAATCAGTAGCCGAAAAATAGAGTACAGTGACGCTCCAAATGAAGCTGTAATGATAAACGGCACACTTGCTGAGAGTAAAACTAAGTATTTATTGTAGAAATTACTCACAAGATACTAAACAAGTAACCAAGATGAGCACAGTAGTTTTCCGCTGCCGAACTGGAAGCCAAAATCCGGAAAAGAGACCAAGATATCCTTTCTTCGGTCTTTTATGCCTTCCTCTGTAATGCCCCCTAGCCATGACCAAAAGTGGGCCTGACTAGTGACGTAGTTCACTGCCTACGTACATATATGTGTTTCGTCCATCCGTATATGTCTTTACACATGCCTAAAGTGGGTGTGGTTATCGGTTTGGTAAACCGCTCTTTTATTACCTCATTTGTATGTGCCTCTAGTAAGTCACATGGTTAATGGCAAGATACAGGCTTCCTCCTACAATTCCCCTTTTAGTCTAAAAAGGACAACTAACTTGTGTCAATGATCAAAATGTATCAAACATCTATTCTATATAAACCTAAACTTATCTGAAAGAAACACCCAAATCTGAACACCTCCTTCCAATCCCAACTCTAAAATAATTGAAAACTAACACTAACAGGTGCAAACTATCGTATAATATCAATAGTAGGGAGAGGGGGTGTGGAATTCTCAAAACTACTTCCTGTTGAGATAGGACAATGATAATCTCATGGGGACCTGTGAGAAGAAAAATGTTAGTATAACAAAATCTCAGTAGATCAGGCAGTCTCTATATGGCAGGAGATGCTTGACTGAAGTTCCTGATTGGGGTTCTAGTGTTATTGAAGCTCTCTGGCCAGATTGTAAGAGATGTGCTGTTTCAGTTCCTTGGTCCAGAGTTGTGCATAGTGATGTAGTTTCAAGCCAGTTTCAGGATAGTGCTTGTCAGGGGGGGTCGATGATGTGGGGCAGTTGCGATGCCTCCAATCGAATCAGGTGAATTCAAGGAAGTAGATACTCATTCTCTTTCTGAAGCGGTTGAAGATTCCTGTCAGGAAATCGCTTGTTCTCTGGAAAACTCAAACATTAGTGTTAACAAGGAAATATTTTAACTTTTATATGTATGCATACTGGAAGAGGTGACAATAGGGAAGATGATAAACATGAAGGAAATTAAATTTTTCAGAAAAAGAAATGCACAGATAACAGTCCCTAATTTTATTTTCTTATGTCTTATGTCAATAAAATTAAATAAAATTCTGAAATTTATTTAAATAATATGCTTGAATTTAGAGTAGGAGGGCCAATCAAACTCCAAAGTCAGCTTCAGTTAAATGAATGGGGACTGAAGTATGTGAAGAAATAAAGATACAAGGGTACTATGAAAAACAAGATAGAGAGATTTAGATTGATACCACACAGTGAGTTATTGTTTGTTTGAGGGTCCTCAGGGTAGGTGTTAATTCTCCTTCAGGAATCCATATGTCCAGTATACTTTGCTGAGTTTACCTGTGAAGACAAAAAACAAAACACTTCTCTATCCTTTTAGGAGGTCACTTTACCCATGGTAGAATATGAATTTGTAGATGAGCTGTTATCTTCCTCCTCCTGAGATGTCTTCTGTTCTGACCGAATCTTAATTAATTTTTATGGAAGCCAAAGCTTTTCTTCTCCTGTGGAAACAAAAGCATAACCCCTTCCCCAATGTAACACATATCCTGGTTTCCAAACTGAGGTCATAACATCCTTAAAATACACTTGCTGGTTCAGGTCAGAAGTCTTCTATGTAGTCCAGTGTCTTTCTGCTGCAGTTTGTCCTTTTTCATCAGCATTAAGAAAATTCAACGTTAGTAAAGCATTATGTAACCTGTGTTTAGGGGTCTTTGTTCTCCCTGGCTATGTATGAAGCATCTCTTTTAAGGTTCGGTTAGATCTTTCAAATACTGCTTTCCTGTGGGATTGTAAGGAATACCAGTTACATA